AAAAAACATACCTAAAAAACAGACCTTAGCGTTGCTAAGGCAGGAAGGTGGGAGGTTCTGGGGTCGTTAAACTATCTAGCGCCGCTAGGTCAGCCAAGCTTAGCGCCACTAAGCCTTATCGCCGCTATGGCATGGGCTGCGCGACTTTGCGTTTCAGGCTCGTTTGGGGTCGTCCAAACTCAAAATTTAGTTCCGTTTTTTCCTACGCGTCGGTAACAAACCCCTATATTCAATGATTCTTGCATGAGCAAATTATTCCTGAAATCCTATTCTTCCAAAGCTTATGACCAGCACACCAAAGACGTGTTTCGCGCGACTTCGCGTTTAGGGCCCGTTCGGACTCGTCCAAGCTTGAAATTGAGCTCCGCTTCTTCCTATATATCGTCAATGAACTCGTCTACACAACCATGATTGCCTGGTCAATTTTCGGGCAAAATTTCTTCCTCACAGGGCTTCCGACCTGCACACTAAAAACAAGAAGAAAAATCCAAAAAACACACGTAAAATACATAGAAGACCAAAATAGAGGAAAACACGCAATAAACTACAAAACAAACTAAAAACCAACAAAAAGACCTAATATGTGGGAAAAAGAAAGGCAAAATGACAATGAAAAACGCAACAAAAATGGGACAAACAAATCCCCCACACTTAAACTTTTGTTCGTCCCGAACAAAAAGAAAAGAAAACAAGACACGAGCATGGATACGGTTTCATATAAGAAGAGCCTCAGAAATGTTTAACTCAACCGGGTCGAAGTCCAACGACCGTCATACCATATACCTCAAATATCGACTTGGCCTTGAAATGACAAACTCTCAAACACATAGATTGCAAAATATGCCTCACACATTTTCTTACATGAATATATGATAGGTTCGCTCAAATTGGTCAATATTCAAGTTTCAACATATGATTGTCAATTATTTTAATTTATCGGAAACAATCAAAGCTCAAGACTTGCGAATCAAGAGGACTTCACGGGTTGTAATGTAGGATTTTTGGGTCAATGTAATGATACATATGTGAGAAAAGAAGCTCAAATAAACAATCACAATTCTCGAGCAAATAGATTACTCGAGTTCATCGCTACTCATCTGGAATAAACATGACAACACACGTACCACTCAACCAAAACACCACACACAACACCTAATTGCTCTAATAGAATTGTAATACTTGACCCATTCTTCTTTTTTTCTTTTTTTATATATTTTTTATTTGGAGAGTAACTTTTTCCGAATAAGATCGAATCAAAAGGACAACATTCTGTAGGTATGAACATTGGAGTGAATCCAAGTGTCCTACAGTAGTTTCCCAATGCTCATTACCCGTCAACCTGAATCGACTAGTAAGAAGAGCAGAATCCAATCGATTCGTCCTGTGAGCTCTCATGTTATATATATATATATATATACATATATATATATATATATATAGAAATTCAACTTCAATTCACCTCATTCAACAACGACACCATTTTCACCAATCATCACAAAATCAGTCAACAAAATACATTATATTATGGCTGACAAAAAATGGCTCAAGGCTCAAACGGGCTACTAGGAAAAATAACGTTAAGGACCAAAGAACAAGGCACAAATGAGCTAACAAACAAAATGTCTCAATCACTTTCGCAATTTCAAACTCAAATCGACTCCTTTCAAATAAACTCAAGGCAAGTTCTAATCATTCAAGAATATGACCAATATCTCACAAGAAAGAAGAGTAAGGGTCAAAACCTTACAAGGCAAATAAATGTCACTCAAAGCAATCAAGCAAATATCGAGGCAATGATCAACACAACCGTCATCACAATTTTCCAATTTCATCAAACATTCATCAACAAATCATATAATTCACCAATACCACATGCTCAACAACACAAAAAACCTAAAACTAGACCGGTCCACCATATAAGCATGCAAAAATCCTAATAACTCCCCCACACTTAAAATGAGGAAATGTCCTCATTGCTTCAACACAAGATAGGAAGTCAAATAACTGGACCTAGCAATTTCACATAATGAACCAATACTAGCAAAAAGACACGAGGAAGAAGCAACTCAAAAAGATAAAAATAGAAAAGGTGTGCAAACCGAAGTAGCATCGAGGGAAATAAGCCTTCACGTGCAATCCATTCGCCCATGCTCAGCACGGTCCTCAATACGTCCTGCAAACAAAAAGCACAAAAACACCAAACTCCAATTATTAAAAAGATAAAACAAAAAGGCATAATGGAAAATATCATAGAAAGAAATAGATAATATTTGGGTTGCCTCCCAACACGCGCTTGTTTAACGTCATTAGCTTGTCGAATTGCTTGTTTTCAACCAGAATTCACTCCAAAGGCACCGATAGCTTCATCTAACTAAAGTTGGTTGATTGTTGTGACGTGAGGAGGCCTACTCCGGGATTCATCATCTCGAATTCTTCACAAGCTCTCTAGTTCAAGTCTCGTACGCCAAGTATTCGACGAATTGCCCGAACTAGAAATCATGGTCAAAATCGGAGCTAACTCAAGTCCAAAGCGGCGGCCTCCACAAGCTCCAACCCCGACCCAGCAGCCGTGGCCTCATCTTTACCACAACAACACGGCATTCCCTTTAAGGTCGTGTCAATAGACGAGGTCACGGACTATCAACAACTCGCCTCCAAGCCCCTTATAGCACCACGATTCTCGATTGGGACTACTTCAATGACGAGCTCGAGATCGATGGCGATGTCGAGCGCTACATCAAGTTGCTCGACCTCAAGGAATTCGAGGATATGGAAATATATGCTTACCGGACTTTGACTCTCAAGTTCTTCAGCACGGTCGCCAGGCACGACAATGGAAAGTACCTCACTGCTCAACTTAAAGGCATGGAGTACAAAATAACCGACAAGGTGTTGCGCGACATTTACAAGTTCAAGACCAAAATCGCGACACGTCACAGTCCCATGGGGTTCGAAGTTGACCCGCATTGGGCGATCATCTCCCCGTGCGAGAAGTACAAGAAGTCCGGGCCATCTTCGGGTTGAATCAGTGATTTGGCTCATGTGGTGATCCACAAATACATATCACACATGATCTTTGGCAACAAAGAGTCGAACAAGGTGAGCGAGCAGCAGGTATTCATCTTGTGGTCGATCTCACACGACAAATCGGTTAGCATGCTGCAATACCTGAAGGAGTCCCTATTCGATGTGCGAAACGACTCGAGGCGTGGTCCGACCTTGGTCCATGTGGTGTCAATGTTGGTTGAGTACTTTGGGGTTCAGATTGACGAACCCAAAATCCTTGCCAAATGGATTTCCCAGAAAGACCTCTATCACGCCAGCTTCCTTATAGATGACACCACTCCGAAACCAGTCACCCAGCGGAATAGCTACAAGGCCTATCTAAAGGAAATGGGTTTACCCCTATCGGACGACCAATCCCAGCCGGCAGCCGGTACATCGATCGGTCCAGCTCCAGAGGCCTCTCATGATGTAGACGGAGAGGACTTAGAAGCCAACGCACAACCCGAGCACGACACTTATCAGCCTCCTTCGGCAATGGATGAGCAGTCGAGTGCATCTTCCCAGCGGGCTCCCGTGTGGTTTTCTGAGTACCGGGCTCGGAATGACGAGCAGCTGCGAGCAATCCACTCCGAGGTGTCGTCCCACAATGTGCGGCTCGAGTCATAAATAGAGCACAATGATGCCCGTTGGACGACCTACACAGAGCAGAACGAGGCACGTTGGAAGTCGCTTGTGGAGTCCAATGATGAGCGTTGAACGGAGCAGACAAAAAGGTGGAACGAGTTCGTGCAGAACAACGAGAAGCACTGGACGGCCCATGATAACTGCTGGTATACCTGGCAGGCTACGGAGTTTCAACAGTGGAATGCATGGGAAACCCAGTTCAACCAATGGGATACCCGTTGGAGTGCGGGTAGCATCCACCCTCCATGGCCACCACCGGACGCACAGTGACTTGTTACTGTGCTTTGTACGTTTTTCGTTCTCTTTCTATTTTAGTTCTGTATAGTTTCTTTGACTTTCGAGTCGGTTAATTGTGTGGTCTAACTCTCCCATACCAAGGATCGACAATGGGGACATTGTCTGATTTTAAGTGTGAGGGAGTTTTACGTGCTTACGTGACTATGTGGTTGACCAAATCTAGTTTTTCTTTTGATGATTGCTTTTATTTCTTTTCTCTTGCTTGGTCGATCCAAATTCTTGACAACATTATTCTAGCTCAAAAAGCTATTTATTTTCTTAATAGGCATAGGAGTAGCAAAAAATGTTTTATGGCTATCAAGCTGGATATGGCTAAAGCTTTTGACAAGGTAGAGTAGGAGAGTGTGAGACTTATCTTAGTTAAATTGGGTTTTCATATTTCTTTTGTTAAATGGATCATGGCATGTATATCTTTACCCTCATTTTCTTTCAATGTGAATAGCAATGTTGCAGGATATATCAAATCTTCAAAGGGGATAAGGCAGGGTGACCCCTTATCCCTTTACCTGTTTATCCTCATTTCAAAAAAAATATCCTACCTGTTGAAGCAAGAAGTGCAGAGAGGCAACTACTCAAGGGTCAAAACCGCTATGCTCGGGCCCATGCTCACTCATTATTCTTTGCCGATGACACCTTATTATTTGCAAAAGTAGACATTCACCATGCTCAGAAGTACCAGTCAATTACGGGCCAGAGTGTGAACCTGCAGAAGTTAACTATCGTTTTCAGTAAAAATACTCCCACCTCTTCTAAGTCAGAAATTTGTCAAACATTGTTGGGGATTTTAGTTCACACATCTTCAAAGTACTTGGGTCTTCCCTTGGGCGTAGGTCGATCTAAAGCTGAAACCTTTAATTTGGACTTGAAAGAAAAGAACAAACGAAGCGAAGCGATTCAAGATTCAATGAACAAGAAGCTCATTAGATGGAAGAACCAATTTCTCTCTTTTGCTGGCAAGGAAGTCTTGCTTAAATCTATGTTGTCTGCAATGCCTATTCATGCTATGTCCTGCTTTTTTCTCCCTAAAAAGGTGCACAAAACTCTTTCTCAATCCCTTGCTACTTTTTGGTGGAAAAAGAAGAACGACATTCAAAGACCTATCCATTGGAAAGCCTAGAAATACCTCACCATTCCAAAAGACTTTGGAGGTCTCAATTTCTTGGACTTACAGTTAATGAACCAGATTTGATAGCCAAGCAAATTTGGAAGCTCTCGGTAAACCCTCACTCTCTAGTGAGCGGCACAATAAAAGCCAAATACTATCCAAATGGGGATATCTTCTCTGCTAAAAAAACTAAGTCTGGCTCTTGGTTGTAGAACAACTGGGTTGAGGTTCTGGAGAACTTCCAAGGAGGAGCTAGGTTCCAAGTGAAAAATGGAACCTTTATTAAAATCTGGGACCATCCATGGCTTCCAGGGATTCCAAAATTCAAGCCAAGCAAACCACTTCAAGGGTAGTCTAACCTGGTGTGGGTGAATGAGCTTATTGATGAAGCTGGGTGGTCTTGGAACAAAAAGCTAATTACTTCTCTTTTTTCAGCCAGAGATGTTGTTTTGGAACAAAAAGCTAATTACTTCTCTTCTTTCAGCCAGAGATGTTGTTGCTATTTTGGGGATTTCAGGACTTAATCCCTCTAATTAGATTCTCTGGTTTGGGATTGCAACACTAAAGGTGACTTCTTTGTATATGCCACTTATGCTAAGCTTATCAGTGACAAAAGATTAAGCCTTGACCTACCTGAGCATAGCCAAAGTTTCCTTTTGAAAATTGTCAAAAAGAGGAGTTGGGGCCAAAAAATCAAAGGTAAGATAAAGCACTTCCTGTGGAACTGTTTTAACAATATTTTGTCTGTCCTCTGCAATTTGGAAGAAACAGGTATTAAATTAGACTTGGTTTGCAAAGTCTGTGGAGCTGCATTGGAGAGTCAAGAGTACTTATTTTTCCATTGTTCTAGAGCTGCAATAATTTGGAAGCTTTCTCCTGTTAATTGGGATGGTTTGGTGAACTTCACAGGGAACTTTAAGGTGTGGTGGTCTAAAGTGTGCTCTGTCACTCCTTTTCTGACCTCTAACAAAAGGATTAAGATCACTTCATACATCCTTTTGGGTATTTGGAAAAGCAGAAATTTGTGGGTATTCCAAGAGACTTGGAGAGATGAAAAAAACTATTATCGACCAAGCCATGTATGACTGACAAGAATTTGCTAGTCTTAGGTGATCTTTCATTTCTCCCTCTAGTTTGTTGGAGTCTAGATTTCTGAGTGCTTGGTTTTATGTGGCGGCTCGCCTTTTCTGAATGTTTTGGTTCTTAGCTCCTGTTATGCTTGTTAAGAAGTTGTTGTTCTTTCTTTAGCTGGAGTTTTATTAGTGTTTCTAGGTGTTGTTAGGTGTTTTTTAGTTTTTTATTGTTTCTGTAGGGTAGCTGCTTAGTTTTTTTGGGTGGGCTACTAGATCCTTGGGTTCAGTGGTAGACCACCCCTTTTGTTGTGCTTCTTAGCTCACGAAGTTAGCTCAGGGTAGAGCACTTAGAAACACGGCCTCATGGCTTAGTCTATGCCGAGTTTCTAGGCCTCTACCTTGCATTATAAACTCTTGGCTTTATGGTTTGCATTATAAATATTCCTTGGAAGTTGTATTTTTCTTTCACGAACATTGTACATTCGCTTTGAGTTTTATAATNTCACTTGATAATGTGAACAAAAATAGGAACATAAGATGTCTAGAACTATGAATTCAACTTGTGGGACAAGTGACAATGTTCTGTGCTATATCACGATAAGGATCCCAAATTCTTGTTGTGCCATCCAAGGCCTTCACCTATCAGATGGCACCTTAGTTAAAGAATCCACAAAAGATGTTTGAAAATGAACAGGAAGAAACAAAAAAAAAAAAAGAAAAAAAATTATAAACATTATAAATCAAACCAATCATTTGAATCGATTGATACGAGGTTGGCAAGTAAAAACCTCATCAGGCTTGTAGCAATTACTTTGGCTTCTTTGGAAAATGCAACTTGACCAACGAGGGAAGTTCAGTGAGGTCGACCTTAGACTTGCCCAAAAGAATACTTTTCAGCTTTTGATCACAATTCACAACATTCTTATTGTGTGGATCCTACAAATGGATAATTGAAACGTGTATGAGTTAGTTAAGATGAAACATCATACAATTTGACAAGGATTGTAGCTGAATATTTTCTTCAAACTTCTCTAAGTTTTATTGTTAAAAAAAAGATATAAAATAGCATGGCTAAATTGAAACCCAAGTCATAAAAAGAGGTGGAAGTTGCAAAAAGAGAACTGAAAACTCAAGCTTAGAAGACCTAAATCCCACAATATTGGCATGTCTTGTCGACAAAGTGAAAACAAGGTAGTTAGATACGCATATATTCAATAATTTCAGTGGACATTTTACATGCATTCAGGAACAAATTCTAATTCAGTCTCTCATGTTGGTGGTGCTAATAATAATCCAGCTGTAGCAATATTATCCAGCTGGCCCAAATTTCCACTCTAAACACATGTTCAGACTTAATGGCCCATATGAATGTCGATGAATTTTGCAAACATACAGGTAATGACTTGGAACTCGTCACAGGTCATGAATGCACCCTGATATATGACCCTAGTTTGTGTATTAACTATTAAAACTGATTTTTCCCTACGTAACAACGCTTAAAAATTGAAAGCAAAAATGTGTGAGAAAGAAAGTGAGAAAATCTCATCCTCTTGTTGCTAGAAATAACAACTATGCCAACTCAAGCAAATATGGCATAAAAGAGCAGCGTGTGTGAGAGTGTCCGTATGTAATTACACCACATATTCTAATTATCATCATTGTAATTGTAATATTTGGAGGTGTTTGAAAGCTAACCTGGAGATTGTTGTCCTTTATGTAAGACCAAACTCGCCTAAAGCAATTGAGATGAGAACTCTGAGACTGACCCATAAAATCTCTGAGTATGGTGGGCAGATTCACAAGGTCAATCAAATCTGCTACTTTCTTAGGGTTGTCCGTCACGGTCTTCTTCAATCTTTGTGGCAGCATTTTCACTGTAAAACTATCTGCAATCCCAAAAATGGAATTTAAACCCTCATTCAAATATATCTGCAGCACAACTGCAATTGATCCTCACAACTGTAATACTCTAAGCATCAAGAATTTGCCCGCAGTAAAATAAAAAAGCAAATACAAGCACAAGTTGTAAAATGAGCTTCTGGGCCTCAACTAGTGCTAAATAGAACAACCGAAAATGACAATGGTATTACATCAAACATTTGAACCGCGTAACTGCAAATTTGGAGTTCAAGGATGACGCACCTTGTTACCGGGCATAGGTACCCGAGGTACGAGCAGGGCAAGGGCAACACTAGGAAAATTGAGGTTGAGCAGATTCCATATGTAAAAGGAAGGGCACAACTTAGAACAGACAAACCACACGGTAGTTGTGTGCCGGGTTTGTATTTTTACAACAACTTATTCCATAAAATATATACCAAGATGAATCCTGAGGAAATTAAAATATAAGATACTGGACTAAAACTCTTATGAAGACTTCGAGAACTAACGAGTACATTACAAGGGTGAAAATAGGCAAAACAGAACAGCCTTGGTGCTGTGAACTTGACACCAAACAGCCAGACGCCATGTTCTTATATTAAACCTAACTTCAAATAGAAAAGACGTTTTGAAGTGATTCCAGCTCCAATACGATCTCAAGACACAAATCTAAAACTCATATTCAGATATCCACCACAGACCATTGTGTTCTAAGAGTGAAAATCACTCAAAACAGACAAGCACTGCTGCTGCAAAAACTGGACACATAACTCATGCGCAGTCACCGTATAACAAACTACAACTCTTGTGGAAACTTTGAACACTTACAAGAAAGTTATGAGGATGAAAATAGTTCCAAAGTTAGCAGCTCTACTGCTGTCAAATGGACAAAAAATAGCACGAATGGTGTTACTATTTTGAACATAAATTTTTATATAAAATAGGTATCGAAGTAATTCTTGTTCCTACTAAACATCACGAGACGCCTCTCCAAATTTCATGAAGATACTGAAAGCAAAACAGGATGTTAGGTAGGTGAAAAAGTCTTATAATCAGGCCGACAGTGCACAGCCATGTTTGACAGAGAACAGACCTGCGAAATGATGTATTTTGAACGTAACTTCCATATTAATATAGATAACTGAGAAATTCTTGTGCCTATAGAAGGAAGAGAGACATTTTATTTTTTTAAGAAGCAAATAGAATAGTTCAAAATAAGCACTTGCAAGAGCCAACGTTCAACATGGCTGTTCTTTCGCAGGCCTTTCGATCTCATTAACTTGACGAGCCCACAAGTGGTTTTACTTACAGTTCAAGGATTGCAGCATTGTTTTTCCCAAGACTAAAGAGTATTAAAGAAAACTACTAATTAGAACGGATGCCACCCATGAAGGTCCTCGGGTCAGGACAACCTCCAGAAAACTGAGCCTGTGAAAAGTCAAAGCCTGGATTCTCTTCCTGAAACCTTTGACCCACTGTAGGTGAAGACCACGTCTGACCCTTGTCCCTTTTCTGCAGAGTTATGTGCATAATATCATCTTCGAGCGTCCAAAATGAAGAATCTGTCTTCACTGGGCAGGTAAGGTCATGATTAATGTAGGGAGGTTTCCCTTTTATCCCAAATTCAACATGCTTCGATTCAATCTTACAGTGGAAAAGCTGTTTTGGAACATTGGGTGGAACATCAATGTACATATTGACCTCCTCCAGCGTTTGGTCCCACTCAAAGACCTTTTGACCATTATGCATGAAGTTGTGCCTTTTCTCAGGAGCCAATTTCTCAGCCATTTTTCTACTGTTTAGCAATTCGATTTAGCTACCTTTGCTCGCAATTGATGTCCGCAGGTGAAATAGAAACGGGTCGCCTTATGTGGGGGTGCGAAAGAAGGAAGAGACACTTAACTACAATTTTTCTGAAGGCACCAAGAATAGACGGCTAAGGTTCGAGGGTCAAAACAGGAATAGCACACAGTGATTTATTTACAGCAACTTCCAAAAACACAACTAAGTTCGAAAGATAATTAAATACTCAAGAACTTTCATACTCTTCCATTTCTGGGCTCTTCCATTTTTAACCCAAAATTCATAGATTCACACACACACATATACACACACCCAGAAAACATACACACGACACACCCATGTACAGATATTACACACACATACACACAGAGTCCACCCCGAAACATAAATACAAGATCACCACCATGTTATCCAAGAGTAAAGCTTCTGAATAATATAAAACTTGTACAATTTCTATAGCCCCAACTCCGGTACGGGACGACAGCAGGCAACCATCCTTGACCACGTTTCAACTTTCCCCGCATCCAAACACAAATTTACTTGTATATTTCGAATCAATGCATTACAACGAACAATTTGGTATATAAATTACGGAGACTTACCGGAGAGTGGACGACGTACAGTGGAGGTAGCGGTGGCGGTGGCGCACGGCAGTATAGAAAGGAGGAAAAGAAATTTTGTTCGGGGGACGAGAAAGACCTCTAGAATTTGTGAATATAAAGTCAGTGAAAAAAACAGTGATCCTGTCAAATAATATTTTAAAAACATAAAAAAATTGATTGAAGATCAAGTATTACTAATACACACCTTATCAATGATTCACATCCCATCATTCCAAATAAAAATATTACAATTACAATGATGATAATTAGAATTTGTGGTGTAATTACATACGGACACTCTCACACACGCTGCTCTTTTATGCCATATTTGCTTGAGTTGGCATAGTTGTTATTTCTAGCAACAAGATGAGATTTTCTCACTTTCTTTCTCACACATTTTTGCTTTCAATTTTTAAGCGTTGTCACATAATAAAAACTGGATTCAAGCGTAATATGTGTTCCCAAATATGACAAAACTTTGCACCCTCCTTTCATAAGGGGTTTTCTTCTTGCCCAAGTAGACTCATTACTACTAAGAAAGAGATCTTACAATATCTCGTTCCCTAGTGTGACACGTCTTTGAGATCTTTAACACATTACGAGATATATTTACCATCATTACTAGGATTCTGTTTCCCTTCCTGCCACGACTCTCAGGTCCTTAGGTCGTCACAACGACCTCGTGACTCTACAGCCACATGCCTTTGTCAGGTCGTTGACACGACCTCCGTTGCAAAACCTGCAGGTCGTAATGACCCCTCATCCGACCGAGCTCTGTAGAGCGTAGCCATCTTCCTCTTCGCCCGAGCTAACCCGTCCCTCAAGCTACTACATCGAGCTCCGTACTGAAGGTCACTTGAACTGGCCAACCCGAGCTAATATGACTCAGACAAGCTTTTGGACTTTTGTTTATAATCGATTCTTTCCTTCGATAATAGTTCAAAGTATCGTGTTCAGTTGATTAGGCTCAACATTATGTAAGGTAGTGGTGAGCATGGGACTCGAAGGTTATCGAACCGTTCCGAAAACCGAACGAAATTCACCCCGAACTGAAAAATATCCGTTTACTGTTTACTGTTTAACTTTATCTGAACCGAATCATACCGAAAAAAATATTTGGCATGGTTCTGGAGATTCATAAAATATCCGAACCGAGAACCGAACCGAACCGAAAAAAACCATACCGAACCGAGAGTCGAGCAAGAACCGATTTTTATTCATAAAATTCATATAAATATAATATTTCATCTTATGCTTTCGTTTCATCTTTGTACATATTTGTATTTAAAGTTGAATTGCAAACAAAATCCATATACATTAGGTCTATGTTCATAAACTATTATATATTATATTTAAAATTGAATTGCAAAAATCCTCCAATATTGAATGTTAATATAATTAAATGATTGGAAAAATAATTATTTTATTTTCTTACTGCATGTGAGGCATTAGTTTGAAAAGAAACTAAATTAATATACTTTTCCTATCTCAAATTTTGGTAACCAACGTGTCAAATTTTATTAGAAAAATCATTAATTATAAACCAAATTCAAATTTAGAATGTTTGGAGACGGGATTTTATGAAGAAAATTTTTCACAAAATTTGGAAAAAAATATTTATTTAAAGATGATATATTTTCAAATAAAAATAAATTGATAGATATTTTTACCATAATATCTATCAGTTTAATAATAATACTCGACACGTCGACACCTACTGCTCGAAGACGGTAAAGGTTCAATGTTTTTTGGTATTACACATGGATTGATGAAAAATTCACAACTAAATTTAAAATATGTCGTATGGAACTGTCGTTTGTGAATTATGGAATTTGTATTTGGAATGATGGGATGTGAGTCATTGATAAGATGTGTATTAGTAATACTTGATCTACAATCTAATTTTTCATGTTTTGAAAATATTATTTGAGAGGATTACTGTTTTTTTCGCTGACTTTATATTCACAAATTCTAGAGGTCTTTCTCGTCCCCCTAACAAAATTTCTTTTCCTCCTTTCTATACCGCCGTGCGCCACCGCCACGCTACCTCCACTGTACGCCGTCCATTTTTCGGTAAGGCTCCATAATTTATATACCAAATTGTTCGTTGTAATGCATTGATTTGAAATATACAAGTAAATTTGTGTTTAGATGTGACCGCCGTGCGCCACCGCCACGCTACCTCCACTGTACGCCGTCCATTTTTCGGTAAGGCTCCATAATTTATATACCAAATTGTTCGTTGTAATGCATTGATTTGAAATATACAAGTAAATTTGTGTTTAGATGTGGGGAAAGTTGAAACGTGGTCAAGGATGGTTGCCTGCTGTCGTCTTGCCCGTACGGGAGTTGGGGCTATAGAAATTGTACAAGTTTTATATTATTGAGAAGCTTTACTCTTGGGTAACATGGTGGTGATCTTGTATTTATGTTTCGGGGTGGACTCTGTGTATATGTGTGTGTCCTGAGGAGTCCTGTGTGTGTAATATGGTGTGTCGTGTGTGTACTATCTCTACATGGGTGTGTGTGAATGTGTGTGTGTGAATCTATGAATTTTGGGTTAAAAATGGAAGAGCCCAAAAATGGAAGAGTATGAAAGTTCTTGAGTATTTAATTATCTTTCGAACTTAGTTGTGTTTTTGGAAGTTGCTGTAAATAAATCACTTTGTGCTATTCCTGTATACTATTATGACCCTCGAACCTTAGCTGTCTATTCTTGGTGCCTTCAGAAAAATTGTAGTTAAGTGTCTCTTCCTTCTTTCGCACCCACACATAAGGCGACCCGTTTCTATTTCACCTGCGGACATCAATTGCGAGCAAGGGAAGCTAAATCGAATTGCAAAACAGTAGAAAAATGGCTGAGAAATTGGCTCCTGAGAAAAGGCACAGCTTCATACATAATGGTCAAAAGGTCTTGCAAGTGCTTTTGCACTTCACAACCAAAACATAACATGAGCATAACAAAACTCCAGAAAAGGCATAACAAGAGCTTCTTAACAAGCATAACAAGCATAACAGGAGCTAAGAACCAAAACATTCAGAAAAAGGAGACCTGCCACATAAAACCAAGCACTCAGAAATCCAGACTCCAACGAACTAGAGGGGGAAATGAAAGATCACCTAAGACTAGCAAATTCTTGCCAGTCATACATGGCTTGGTCAATAATAGATTTTTCATCTCTCCAAGTCTCTTGGAAGACCCACAAATTTCTGCGTTTTCCAAATACCCAAAAGGATGTATGAAGTGATCTTAATCCTTTTGTTAGAGGTCAGAGAAGGAGTGACAGAGCACACCTTAGACCACCACACCTTAAAGTTCCCTGTGAAGTTCACCAAACCATCCCAACCCAATTAACAGGAGAAAGCTTCCAAATTTTTGCAGCTCTAGAACAATGGAAAAATAAGTGCTCTTGACTCTCCGATGCAGCTCCACAGACTTTGCAAACCAAGTCTTATTTAATACCTTTTTCTTCCAAATTGCAGAGGACAGGCAGAATATTGTTAAAACAGTTCCACAGGAAATGCTTTATCTTACCTTTGATTTTTTGGCCCCAACTCCTCTTTTTTACAATTTTCAAAAGGAAACTTTGACTATGCTCAGGTAGGTCAAGGCTTAATCTTTTGTCATTGATAAGCTTAGCATAAGTGGCATATACTAAGAAGTCACCTTTAGTGCTGCAATCCCAAACCAGAGAATCTAATTCAGAGGGATTAAGTCCTGAAATCCCCAAAATAGCAACAACATCTCTTGCTGAAAAAAGAGAAGTAATTAGCTCTTTGTTCCAAGACCACCCAGCTTCATCAATAAGCTCATTCACCCACACCAGGTTAGACTGCCCTTGAAGTGGTTTGCTTGGCTTGAATTTTGGAATCCCTGGATGGTCCCAGATTTTAATAGAGGTTCCATTTTTCACTTGGAACCTAGCTCCTCCTTGGAAGTCTCCAGAACCTCAACCCAGTTGTTCTACAACCAAGAGCCAGACTTAGTTTTTTTAGCAGAGAAGATATCCCCATTTGGATAGTATTTGGCTTTTATTGTGCTGCTCACTTGACTGAGAGCTTCCAAATTTGCTTGGCTATCAAATCTGGTTCATTAACTGTAAGTCCAAGAAACCGAGACCTCCAAAGTCTTTTGGAATGGTGAGGTATTTCTAGGCTTTCGAATGGATAGGCCTTTGAATGTCGTTCTTCTTTTTCCACAAGAAAGTAGCAAGGGATTGAGAAAGAGTTTTGTGCACCTTTTAAGGGAGAAGAAAGCAGGACATAGCATGAATAGGCATTGCAGACAGCACAGATTTAAGCAAGACTTCCTTGCCAGCAAAAGAGAGAAATTGGTTCTTCCATCTAATGAGCTTCTAGTTCATTGAATCTTGAATCGCTTCGCTTCGTTTGTTCCTTTCTTTCAAGTCCAAATTGAAGGCTTCAGCTTTAGACCGACCTACGCCCAAGGGAAGACCCAAGTACCTTGAAGATGTGTGAACTAAAATCCCCAACAGTGTTTGACAGATTGCTGACTTAGAAGAGGTGGGAGTATTTTTACTGAAAACGATAGTTGACTTCTGCAGGTTCACACTCTGGCCCGTAATTGACCGATACTTCTGAAGAATGTCTAAAATTAACTGAGCATGGTGAATGTCTACTTTTGCAAATAATAAGGTGTCATCGGCAAAGAATAAATGAGTGAGCATGGGCCCGAGCATAGCTGTTTTGACCCTTGAGTAGTTGCCTCTCTGCACTTCTTGCTTCAACAGGTAGGAAAAAATTTCTGAAATGAGGATAAACAGGTAGGGGGATAAGGGGTCACCCTGCCTTATCCCCTTTGAAGATTTGATATATCTTGCAACATTGCTATTCACATTGACAGAAAATGAGGGTGAAATATACAGGCCATGATCCATCTAACAAAAGAAATATGACAACCCAATTTAACCAAGATAAGTCTCACACTCTCCTACTCTACCCTGTCAAAAGCTTTAGCCATATCCAGCTTGATAGCCATAAAACATTTTTGCTACTCCTATGCCTATTAAGAAAATGAATAGCTTCTTGAGTTAGAATAATGTTGTCAAGAATTTGGATCCACCCCCTATTTTGCTACTCCTATGCCTAACAAAAGGGTATAAATGTCTTTTAGCGTGGCGGTGAATAGTAATAGGAGGGCCGGTGTATAGTAACACCCATAAAAATTACAAGCAGTCTCCATTTCTAATGGATTATCAATCGGGGTCGATCACAATGACTACTTTTTACCACATCCAATTCCATTCTATATTTGACCCTTTAATTAATAGACTGTCATTATTGTGATAGGTACATGTTTTCGAAAGCATATTATGATCCGCACTTAAAAACATGATTAACCATGATAAGTGCTAAAAAAAATGCAGCTAATATTAGATTAACTGCAAACATTTATGAAAAGAGACAATTATAATTACGAAGAATAATTCACTCGTCCTCTTGCTAAATTACTGCACAGGTAAATGCACAACTAATTAGCACTTATAAAATCCAAAGCTAACTTCTTCTTTTCTTTTCTTTTCTTTATATATATATATATATATNTCAGCTTCTCATAGCCATTCACCACATTTGAGAAAAATATGAATGGAACTCATTATTTTCATCTTATGTAATTTTGCAGTGAGAACAAGTGCATGACTATTACGACACCCATATTTATCACATTAGCCTCCAGTTCCTAAGCAAAGAATATAAAGATAAGTTTTTTACATTTTTGCTCCTAGACATTCAACTTAAAACCAATTCGGCAGCTCTTTCATTTTAATCCTCTTTTGAGAACAAAACTTAAATATCCTCAAGACTTCAGATTCAATTCGCATTACTGGTTATGAATCAAATCATTAAACATGGATAAAAACCAATGAATCTCCTTTTCTTTTCTTAAATTTGAATTCTTAATCATATAACTCTGGCCATGAGAGGGTAGAGGCTCAACCGTATACCTTGCTTCGGGACTCGAGAGGTGAGCTTGCCGGCGAGGGTTGGACGGGATTGCCGGCGGCTGGACGGCGACTCACCGGAGGGAAGAGGAGGTGGCCGGATTTTAGTGGTGAGGAGCTCAGAGATGAGTTCTTGCTATGGTGTGTGTGGATGAATTTGGTGTGCTAAGTGTATTGTGATATTTATAGGTGGAAGGATTTTAGGAAGTTGAAGATTGGGCTTAAAATGTTGGGCCTCAAAATTGGACTATGTAATTGGACTTAGAATCGAACATTGACTTAGGAAATTTGAATGCTCGGATAAATTTAAAATGGATCGGATCAATTTAAAAATTAATAGAGACTTGGACTAAATTAATTAACCGGTCGAATAAAATAATGGGGCTCGAATTTAAAAATCGAACATGGGCTCAATTTTTAAAATGGAGTGAAATTAAATCGAACGTGGACTCTATTAATTAAGGTGAGCCGGAATAAAATCGACTCGCTCGAAAATGATTTGGGTCGAGGCTCGGCTGGTCCGGGGTTCGACCCGACTTAATAAAATTCCGATTATTCCAAGGCTCGATTTTATCTTAAAAATAAAATCGATACTTGGGCTAAATAGATCCGATTTTAATATTAAAAATCAAATAAATTCTCTATGGCTTAGACTTAATACTAATTACCCAATTTATAGAAATAAAGTCAAGTTTCATAAATAGTAAAAATATTCGGGCCGTTACACCGTTCTTTAAGCTCTCATTTATTTGATCAATGGCTAGGAGGAGTGGCCCTAGTAGTGTTGATCTCTGTTGACTAATAGCTCGAACACATTCTTGAATACGATCTATTACATTTTCCTGATCAGCCTTTGGTAATCTCCGAGCAAGATTAGCATTAAGCATGAAAGTATCAAATTCTCTCATGAGCAATTCTATATGATAGCCAAGATGTCCTGGTGGCGTCAAGACGGAATCAACTTCAACTCCCTCCATCTCTAATAATATTCATCAAATCATACAGAAGAGAGAAAGAGAAAGTAGAGAAGCATCGGAGAAGAAGAGGAAAATTAGGTTTTCTGTATTGAACAAAAGTGAATAAGTCTGATACATCATTTCCCTTATATACATGGGACACATGTGTAAATATTACAAAATAGGTTGCCTACAATGAATAGGTAAAACATAAAGTCATAAGTGTTTGTACATTTGGCATAATTAGTTGTACATAATCTATTACCCCCCCCTCAAGATGAACATGAATATTTTTCAAGTTCATCTTGGAAGTGAGAGCTGAAAACAGAGGATAACATAGTGGTTTAGTGAAGATGTCTGCTATCTGCTGCTGTGAAGGAATGTGAGCAACTGAGATGATGCCTTTGGAAATCTTTTCCCTTATGAGATGACAATCCAGTTCAATGTGCTTTGTTCTTTCATGGAAGACAGGATTTGTGGCAATGGAAAGTGCAGCTTTACTATCTGAAAAAATGCATACTGGAGACTTATGAGTAATATGAAGTTCATCAAGTAAATATAGCAACCACTGTACCTCACAACTAGTATAAGCTAATGCTCTATACTCAGCTTCAGCTGAAGACTTGCTAATTGTTGGTTGCTTTTTAGATTTCCAAGATATTAAAGAGTTGCCCAAAAATATAGCATAACCAGAAATACTCCTTCTAGAATCTATGCAGCCAGCCCAATCAGAATCACTATATGCAGTAAGAGTTAAAGAAGAAGATCTAGGAAAGAATATACCTTGGCCCACAGTCTGTTTTAAATACCTGAGGATCCTGTGTGCTGCTGTCAAGTGCTGTTGAGTGGGATTGACCAGAAATTGACTGAGACTTTGGACACTATATGAAATATCAGGTCTAGTGATTGTGAGGTAGAGTAATCTACCAATTAATCTTCTGTAAACAGTGGCATCTACAGGTAAATCTTTAGTATTGTTACCAGTAAGTTTAATATTGGCATCCATGGGAGTGGATACTGGCTTACTGCCCAAATAACCAGAATCATGTAAAATGTCAAGGGCATATTTCCTTTGACAAATATTTATACCTGCAGCAGAATGAGCAACCTCTAGACCTAGAATATATTTCAGTTGTCCCAAGTCTTTAATTGTAAAACAATTATCTAAATGAGATTTGATAGCATGAATTTCAGAAATGTCATTTCCAGCAAGTATTATATCATCAACATATACTAATAATGCAAGAAATGAGGAAGATGATTTTTTGATGAAAAGAGAGCAATCAGAAACTGATTGAGAGAATCCATATGCAAGTAGACATTGAGTAAGCTTATGAAACCATTGTCTTGAGGCTTGTTTCAAGCCATAGAGACTTTTGGTTAGTTTACAAACTCTTTGATCATTTTTATCACAATAACCAGGTGGGGGTGTCATGTACACCTCCTCATCTAGGTCACCATGTAAGAATGCATTATTTACATCAAGTTGATGTAAGTGCCAATGATGAATGGATGCTAATGCAATGAGGAGTCTAACTGTTGTGATTTTGGCAACAGGACTAAAAGTATCAAAGTAATCTATGCCCTCCTCCTGGGTATACCCTTTGGCTACTAATCTGGCTTTATATCTCTCTATAGAGCCATCAGCCTTATATTTTATTTTAAAAACCCATTTGCAGCCTATGGGTTTTTTGCCAGGAGGGAGGTCAGTAAGATACCAAGTTTTAGTCTGTTCTAATGCAGAAATTTCTTTATGCATGGCTTCCTGCCATAATGGATTGCCAGATGCTTGTTTGTATGTTTTTGGTTCAGTATGAGTGGTGATGGATGTGGTGAAGCATGTATGTTCAGTGGACAGATTTGATGTACTGAGATGATTTTCAATGGGATATAAGTTTGATGTTCTAGAAATGTTAGGAGACTGTGTGGAAGTAACTGAGTTAGAGGAAGAGGGGAGTTGATGATTATAGGCTTGTAAGTAAGCAGGGGTAGTTTTAATCCTTGTAGATCTTCTGATAGGTTGAGGCTGAATGTTGGTGATCTGTGTGTGTTGATGGACAGAAGGTGATTGATTACTGATGGTAGGTTGTATGTTTTGATTTATATGAAATGATTGAGTGGGATTCTGAGTAGTGTTATCTGGAGTAGTGCTGATGGTCTGAGATGAGTGTGAATTTATTGGTGAGGTATAGTCATGAGTGAATGAATGTGGAGCAGGGAATAAGGGTGTATGTATAGGTTCAGAGGAAGGATTTTTAAAGGGAAAAACAGTCTCATAAAATATAACATTTCTAGAAATCACTATTTTCTTGGTATCTAAGTCATAAAGTTTATAACCTTTATGACCCAAGGGATACCCAAGAAAGATGCATTTTGATGCTCTATGAGAAAATTTTGTTCTGTGAGAATGAAGTGTGGATGCATAACAAAGACATCCTATTGTTCTGAGATGAGAAATGGATGCTGGTGTATTGTAAAGCATATGATATGGAGATTTGTTATGCAAAACTTTAGTAGGAACTCTGTTAATAATATGGACAGCAGCTAGAATACAGTCAATCCAAAAATGCAGGGGTAAATGTGCATGAAATAAGAATGCTCTTGCTACTTGAAGGATATGTTGATGTTTCCTCTCAACCCTTGCATTTTGCTGTGGGGTTTCTACACAGCTTTTCTGATGTAAAATACCAGTTTCATTGAAAAAATCATGCAGTAGGAACTCTGTGCCATTATCAGATCTTAAGACTTTGATGTTTTTGTCAAATTGTGTTTTGACCATGTTATGAAAATGTCTTAAGCTAGAGTGAGTATCTGATTTTTGAAATAGAGGATAAACCCATGTTGTCCTACTGTAATCATCCACAATGGTTAAGAAGTATTTATGACCAGCATATGAAGGTACAGAAAATGGACCCCAAACATCACAATGTATTAACTCAAAAGAAGATGATGCAGTTGAATTGCTAAGTTGAAAGGGAAGTCTCTTTTGTCTAGAAAAATGACATACATCACAAGGATTATTATGCTTTGAAATAGGAATATCAAGTTCAGTCATTCTGGTAAAAGATAAGTGGCCAAGTCTAGAATGCCATATGTCAGGGGATACAAGGTTTTTGCAAGTATTTGCATCAGAGACATGTGTTGTGTTAACATGGGATACAGGGTTATGAGATATAGATGAAGTATGTAAAGATGCAGAAGGGTCAAAATGATATAAACCACTTTTGGCTTCAGCAAAACCAATCACTTTGAGTGATGTCAGATCCTGCAATATGCAGTGAGATGCAAAGAAATTTATGACACAATTATTTGTGGCAGCCAATTTTGATATAGAAATGAGATTAAACTTGAAATGAGGAACAAACAGTGCTTGTTTTAAAACAATAGAAGCAGATAACTGAATATCACCCATGTGTGAAGCAAAAGTGACTTCTCCATTTGGTAAATTAACAGGTATAGAAGTGTGAAACAAGTTTGAAGTAAATAAGGATTTATCACAAATCATGTGGTCCGAAGCTCCAGTATCTAATATCCATGTGCAAGCATTGAAAACACAATGAGCAGAACATGAAACACCTACAGAATTAGAAATACCTGTTGCAGGAGCTGTCTGAGTGACACAAGCATTAGCACTAACAGTATTCTGAGTATCCATAGGAGGTGCAGATACATTCTGTTCATAAGACTTTTTAAAAGCTAAAAATTCATGAAACAAATGATCAGTCATGGAAGATTCAGAGTTATCATGAGAACCAGGCTGTGTTGAGATCACAGAATTAGCAGAGTGTCTTGGATGGATTCGAGTACCACGAGGTCCATCCCAATTAGAAGGGTAGCCAACAAGTTGATAGCATTTATCTGAAGTATGGCCAAGATATCCACAATGGGAACATTTAGGACGAGGCTTAGTCTGATCTTTCTGATTGTAGGATTTTGATGTGTCAGTGGTTTTGAAAGGTGGTTTGTAGGGTTTCTGTGGTTGAAAATGAGACTTAGCTGCCATGGCCATAGAATCATGAGATTTGGTGTGTAAGGTACGCTGGCTTTCTTCTTGAAGGAGAAGGGAATAGACTTTGTTGAGATTCGGGAGAGGTGTAGACAGGAGTAAGTGTGATCTCAATGCAGAGTAGGACTCATTCAAACCAATCAAAAATTTTATCACAGAATCAGATTGTTGAGAGTTAACCATGGAATCAAAGATGTTG